CTGGTAACCACCTTTGCACGCCCAACCCCCACCAAACCCCCGATCCGCACCAGCCCAGCAAACTAGAATCAGAAACTTATAGATTGAACCATATAGATGAACAATAATAAGAACAGTTGATAATTCAAGTTCTTCATGGTAACACGTGATAGGTATATGGTGCAGTGTTAAAGGGGAGGATTGTTTTATAACTATTGGCTTCATATATTAGATGGAAGTGTATAATGCAATTGCTTATACAACTGTCTGTATTATTGTTTTGCAGAGGACAGTGCCTCTTGCTGTTGAGGGATCATTTGACTTCTTCAAACTTTTACCAGTTGACCCTTCAAGTCTGTCTACATGTCAGCTAGAGTCCCTCTTGTCTCTCTTACGTGAATGTATTCAACAAGCGCCAGGAGGCAGGATTTCAGCTAGAGCCCCCAAATTTTTGTACAAACACTTGCAGCGATTAATAAACATCTTATTGTATTCACATGTTAAAGGCATTCGAGAAGAGGCATATGTTCTGGCTCGAGCAGCTATGACAAGCACCGGTGCCTTTGATCAAAATGTCTCTGAAATTGATGTATGGTTGTCTTCATTAACTGGCTATTGTACGAAAAGTCATATTGCAGGTGGCGAAGGGGCGGAAGTGATTCACTGCTTGTCCAATAATGTCAGTTCATTTCTTTGTGATGCTGCTTCAACAGTTGGAAACAACTTGTATAAGTATCTGGATCAAATGCGAGAGCTAATCTCTAAGTTAGAGAATGCTAATGGTATGTAATGGTTCATTTATAAAGGGCAATATCTTTATCCTGCAAGTTTAACATTACTTTCTGTTTGATGCCTCAGATGGCTTAAGGGGCAATATGTGGATTGTTGTACAGAGATTTAGGTTTTATTTGATGGGATTGCATATCAACTATATGTTTCTTGTACAGACTTGTTGTCAAGAGACAGACCTTATTACTAGATTACAGTAAAAAAAAAAAAAGGCTAGTGACTCACATCTGCATGTTTGGTCTACATTATCTCAATTATATATGATGTTAAAGTCTAGTTTTAATATTGTCAGACATTATGCTGAAATAAACCGTAACAACTACTCAGTTTCCTGGCTGCCAACATTTCCGGACCTTGTATTGAATTGTTTCAGACATCATAAGTTATTGTTATGCTTAGATGTGATATGATGAACACCGTGAAAATCTTAGTCTCTATAATGCTGCCAGTTTAGTTTATTTCTTTCTTTGGAAGCAGCTTCTACCCCCAAACATTTGGGGTAAAGGCTTTGTTATTTTTGTTGCTATTGTTTGGAAGCAGCTCCTGATTATTATTATTCAAGTAGTGCATGTTAGCTTTTTCCCCCCTTTTTTTTGTTCTCACTGTTAATCAAATTTCCTTTCCGGGCTTTTGTTTCTGCTTGCAACTTACATCTATAACTTGTTAATTATCTTGGGATGGTGGCGTGCGCCACATAACTTCATAGTTCAGTGACAATTCTTTTCACTAACTATGCATTTTGTATACAGACGATTCTCCTGGTTTTAGTCCTCTCATCATTTGTGTCCTAGAGAAGTGTCTCAGGTTGCTTGAATCAGAATCCAGAACCTATAAATTATATGAAAAGTCCATGATTTCGTTGTATGCATGCAACACGATAAGCTTAATCTTGCAGACCCAGGTAGAAAATTATCCCTTAATTTATTACACACATTTTAGTGCACAGGATTCTGTTCTCTGACTGTTGTCCAACAGGTGGATGCAAGAACATTATCTGGCGTAGTACGTCTGATCTTGACTGAAAAGTTTAATGGTTATCCTTCAGAAGACATGGAAGCAAAGAGCGACCTTTGTGAGTGGAGGCCAGTTAATAATCTCTTGCGCTTTTCCCAGGGTGTTTTTGATCAAGATAGTTGTAGTTTGTTTACAATTTCAAGAAGTGCTGTCAAACAGTGTGATGGCTCTTTGTCCCCAGTACTAGTTAAGGTAAAGGAGCTTCTAGAGGGGGATCATGGTGTTAGGCAAGTTGGTGCAGCTGTTGCTTTTACATCATCTATTGTTTGTGCAACTCCTCAGGATATGTTGACCAACTTTCAGCTGCTTCTTACTGTTACAAGACAACATTTCAGATCATATCTTCCTTTCTTGTCATGGGTACTTTTCCTTGAACAGGGTTTTCTAGCCAATGTTGTTGATCTGGAGACAAATATCGTCTCATCCGGCCTTAAAATGATTGAGGGTGTAATTGGTAATTTCGAAGGAAGCAAACTTCAATCGCTCAATAGCAATAAAGCTCCCCAACTTTCAGAAATAGAAGACCTTCTAGATAAAGAACCAGCTTCTTCTGCTGCCTTATTTTTATATAGTGCTCCATTTTGTGCTCTATTTTCGGCAATCATGTGTGTTGAAAGTGCTAAGTCAGGCTCAAGTGGAAAGCTAGATGTACTGCATTCAAGTGCAATGCTAAGCTTGCTTCAAGTTAAGCTCTCTGAAGGTTCTCTTGACGACTCCATCTTATCTTTGAGAATGTTACTATTTTGGACTAACCAGATGATGCGATTCCTTAAGACCAACCAGAATGTGTCATCCAGGACCACCACATCAACTATTTTAAAAGAAAAACTCCAAATGTGCATCACTCTTGTTAGATATCTATTAGATCATACGTTGGTTGCATTTTCTGATGTTACTGGTTTTAAAACTTTGGGGGTATCGTCTCTTACACATTATGTTCAAGATGTTGTTGACTTCATTTTCCAGCATCCTGTTATGGCTTTTGCCTTGTCGCAGCCTCTCAGCTTCAGCAGCTTGGGAAATAATGTGCAAACCTTGATGACTTCCCAAGAAAAGTTTCATCCTGTTGACTGTAATTTCTTGCGGTTATTAAGGATAGTCTTTGACTTTGTCTTATCTGCTAGAGATCTGCTCTATTGTTCATCTGAAATGCCTGATTTTTCTCCTGGAATAGTTTTAAGCGCTCCCAGGAACTTTGTTGAAGACTTAATGGAAAGCTTTAAGCTTTCTGTTCTCAAGAGAGATGAACTGATTCTCCCTAGATTTTACATACTTCATTGCTTGATGAAGTTTGTATCACCATTCGAGTTGCTCGAAGTTGCAGACTGGATGTATGTTGAACTCAAAGATAGCATTTCCAGGAGCACGTCATCATTTGCGAATGTTGTTGTTTCTGTTGGTTTGTATATCGTGGATGGTGCATTGGATATGATATTTAGGTACTTGCATCAGCCGAGAATGGACTCCCAATTTAATTCATTGTGGGAGGGGGAATCCAAGATTTTCAATATATCCATCCTTCTTAACCTTTATCAGAAGATTCTGGAGTTTGGTATCAATTTCAATCTTCAATGTGCTGAGGCATGTTTGTTGAAGATTGTCACTGCTGCTTATAGTCAGAGATTTGCTAAACCTGATCCTGCTCTGTTTCCACTATGTACACAGTTGTCTAGGATGATTGCCAACAGTCCCATGAAGATGCTTGCATATTGCTTTTATCCCACCAGCAAGATAAAAACAAAAATTCTATTACAGCTTGTTGAAGTTAGCCCTTTGCATATGCATCACTTTGGGAAGATATTTTTGGGAATTTTAAACAATAACTTTTCTGATTTAGTTCTATTAAATAAAGATGGTGTGCGGTCAGCTAAGTGCAATAGGACTAACGAGGTCAGTAATTGTGCCTTTTCAAATGATGATTTTGTGCATTTATTGCCTGTGGCTTTGTCGTATATGGTGTTTATCAGACATAAATATGGGGGCCAGGAGCTAAAACCACTCGGAACAATTGCTAAGTTCTATTCTCGTATGCTTTTGGACGGGTTCTCAAGATGGAAAGACTATGTCTCTCAAGACATTTTCCAAGAGGATTATGATGAACCAGTGCCAACATCTCTCGAGAATTTTCATAAATTTTGCTGCTCTACTCTTCTTGGTAAAGCAATCACCATGTTGCATTCTTCTCTTTTACTAAGTGAGATTAGGGTGAAAGACATACAGCTATTGGGAATATTTGATTCTGTTTATTCAGACAGATCTTTGTTTGATCCACATCTTCCTGGTTGTGAAAACCTTGGTTCGTGTTCCTACAAGGAGTCCTTAAAAATTCTTGATGTTGTTGCTGCTAAAATTTCCTTTGCGAGATTATTATTATTTCCAGGAGCAAGTCTGACATCTAGTACAATAGAAGAAAATGGAAAATCCAAAGGAATATGGACGGATAGAGAATCTAACATTACAGGTTACGCAAAAAGATTTATGTGCATCCTGGTCGATGCATGGGAAGACATCATAACAAAAATTCCTCTCAAATTTAATAGCTCCTGTGTATCATGTAGTGCTGAATGCTATCCAGTTTTCAGGTTCCTAGAACATTACATACTAAGCAACATTGTCCAATTGTCCACAGACATCAAAATCTATCAAAGGGAAGCACCATCTATTCATTTTCTAGAACAATTTGTCAAGTCTTCTCTCCTTCACAGATTTGAGGATCCTCTTACTTTAAGAGCAATTCGTTGCATTCTAGTGGCGCTATCAGAAACAAGATTTTCTTCTTGTGCTGTTCTTGAACAATTGATTAGAGACTCTAAATTTGTTCCAGTAATGGTTGGAAGTTCTGCTGATTCAGAATTATCTACTGTTAGTACCTCTGGAATGTTAATGCAACCACTCCCCAGTATCTTGAAATCTCTAGACATCTCATTTGTGGACCAAACTGTCCCTGATGGCAGGAACACCTCTGACATGTCCTTGGGGCTGCAATCTTATCGCTGTTCTTTTGAGGGTGTTAGGTTAGAACTAGTTAAGTTGCTTAGAGTACTTTATCATCTTAAAGATCAACAGAAAAATTTTCAGAGCGCAAATGTTGATGGCAGAAATTCAAGGGAGTTGCTTTCTTTGCTTTTATCAAGCTATGGGGCAACTATGAGTGAAATTGACTTGGAGATTTTCCATCTTATGCATGAGATTGAGACGATTGAAGGATCATATTGTTGGAGTATTGCGGCTATGGATTATCTCTGGGGCGGTTCGGCCATGAAACTTAGAAACGAATTGTTTCTTGATGGATCTGTATCATCTGACGTGGAAGCTGCAAAAGAAAGGCGCAAAGTATTCTTTAGAGAGTATATTCCAGTTGATTCGAATTTATCTGTCATGACAGCATTGCATTTTTGCAGCGATAGATCTTCAAGGATTGCTCTAATGTCACTAGAAAGACTTTTGGAGGACAATTTTGTGGATTCTTCAGAGGTTAATCTCACACTTTTCTTTAGGTTCATTTTATATATTGCTTTTTCTATACTATTCTTGAATTATACACCGGGTTTTTACCAATTTGACTTGTTTAAAGATTTTTGTTGACATTTTGGCAGAAAATATCATCTTCAAATATTAACATGGTTCAAAGATACGACCCTGCTTACATATTGGCGTTTTCTAACCACTGTCTTGCCATGGGGTACCTGGAGCCGACAGAGTTTTCTAGATTAGGCCTTCTAGCAATTTCATTTGTTAGCATATCTTCACCTGATGAAGAACTACGGAAATTGGGGTACAATTGCCTTGGAAAATTCCAGGATGCTTTGAAGGTAAACATTTGTTTTTACCATTGCATTTTGGTAGTTCTCGACTACAATGCACCTTTGTATTGATAACCCATGTAATATTTATTTATTTTTTGTATTTAAACTTCATCATGTGTTGAATATTTTCATTGGATACTAGCAGACTGTCTGCTGGATAAAAGTATCTAACTATTAGCAGCTAGCCGTGTATTACTTGTTCCAATTTTATATGAACTATTATAACTTGCAAGACTTGGAGTTATTAACTCGCTCACTGACGTATAGCTCACCATCTCCCCCTCTGAGCCCATAGGGGAACTTTCCCATAGTCTGAATTCCTATTGAAGTCTACTGACTTGCACTTTTCTGCACACCAAATCAATTACTTGTATGGCGGACATGCAAACAACATACTGCTTATTGTCTAAGATTTTTACATGATTTGATGACAGACTTGTCAGAAGAGGAAGGAGACACTGCCACTTCAACTTCTTTTAACAAATATCCAGAATAGGATAACAGCGGAATGGCAGAGAATTCCTTCTGTGATAGCTATTTTTGCTGCTGAAGCCTCTCTCATATTGTTGGATCCTTCTCAGAATCATTTTCTTACATTGAGTGAATTCTTAGAGAACTCACAAAAGATTAAACTGAAGGTATATGTAAGCTGATGTAGAGGTCTAATAATTTTTGTATAAAGTCGTTCTCGGCTGTTGTCATTGTTATCGTTCTCAAAACTATTTTCTTTGTTGTTATTTTTGTTTGTGGTGGTGTTGCTTATTGGTTATTGTTTCTCTGTGCAGAGGATCCCATTTTTTCCTAAGTTGTTCAGAAGTGGTTCCATCCATTTCAAAATGGACCGTCTATGGATACTGCGGCTACTATGCGCGGGATTGAATTCAGATGTTGATGCTAAAATATATATGAAACAAGAAGTTTTAAATCTGTTGCTGAGTTTCTTTGGTTCTTCGCTCGCGGATCACGAGTCAAAGATTCTTATACTTCAGGTATTTCAAAATTTTCTTGAATATTTATATCTTATTATCCTGTGTATGTCTGTAATTTTTGACTTGTGAATAACTCATGATTACAGTCATTTGAAAGCATAAGGACTTGAATATTGTTACGATGTAGAAGTATTTCCCACTTCATCATCTTCCTAACTTCATTGTTTTGGTGGAACAACAACTAACTTTAAGATTCCATCAGAGAAATGTATGTGACAATCCTCCCAGATTCACATTCAAAAAGGCTTTAATAAAAGGCACTGCACAAAAGCATATGCTTTTCACCTAAATGAGGCACTCAACCTATGCAGTGTGTTAAAATATGTAAGATTATTTTTCCCTCAACCTTCATATTGATCTTGGAATTTTGGATAATTCTAGCACTTGAAGAACCACAACCTAAAAGGTTAATCTGTTGTCTATGAGCTAACAGTTCTTCTTTCAAGCGGTCCTTTAGGCCATATTGAAAGGCCTCCAGTGTAAAGATGACTACTTTGGAAAAGAAGAACAAATGGTATATTAACATGTTTTTAGATGATACAATCATGGATCTGCTGGAACTGGATGTTTGAAGCACTCGTGTCATATCAAAATAAATTTTTAGGAGTCGAGATCCGCCGGACTAAACAAAAAGAAAGGAAAACAGAAAAAGCTCATATACGTGATTTCATAAGTTTCTTGTAGTCTGGTAGCCTTCTGTTCTTAGCAGTAAGCTATTATATATGAGAAGTGTTCTCTAATATATATGCCTTATATGATGATTCTCATACACTTTTACAAATTCTCTTATACTTTCCTCATGGTTAATGTTTCAACTATTTGTAATATGCTCATCATAACAATTTTTCAACAATAATCTGAAACTTAGTTTCACTTGCACTGCAGATAGTGAAGAAATGTGTTAGACTTTCCAATATAGCTCTTTGTTTAATCAAGAAACATGGTCTAGTTTCATGGTTATCCTCTATTCTTTTGTCCTACGGGAAGAGGCTTGCTGGGGATCATCAAGAATCTTCTCTAGCAGTTATAGAGTTGGTCTTGAAGGTACGCATGTGTCAATATTATTTCATTTATTGCAGATTTAATCTTTCTGTAGTGAGTTTATTTTTAACTGCAGATTCACTTATAATATATTTCATAAATAATACATGCTCAAGTCTTCTAAATGCTCTTGTGACCTCAATTTTCCCTTGTGGAAGTTTAGATTTATTCATCTCTCGCACATACTGAAATCATACATGCTGAAATCTTCCAATTCGTTACGTCATTATTTCCCTTTCTGATAAAATAGACTGATAGAAACACAATAGTGGTAGAATTACATGGTTTTCTTATAGTTTATTGTCAACAGAAGCTTTTTTAAGGAAGAAGATCAAAGTAAATAAAAGGTGAAAGAAATGGAAGATATGAGATCCATATGTTGTTCACAAGTACTTCTGGCTTGCAGTTTCTGGGTAGAAATTACACCAAAAAACCATGTACTGTAGTTCAAGCTAAATATTTGAATTTGTCGATATAAATGGTTATCTTAGCACATTTTAATCAGTATATTTGATTTTGTCAATGGAATTAAGTTTGCTAGCTGTCAACTTCTACAGTTTTAAATCCAACTTCTACAGTTTTAAAGTTAGTTACGCAAAGACCTATGTACTACTCTAGTAACAAAGCCCAATATGCAGCTTCAGATGAACTCCTAGGGCCACATGATCTGCTTCTTTACTTGGCCATTGGTTAATCATCCTTGCTAAAAGCATTCCAAATTGTAGAACCTCTGTTGCAATGTATGATTTCATGATAATATATACGTTTAATTTCCATAAATACTGAGGTTCTTGACACTCAGAAGAATCGAGAAGTTTGTTTAATTTACTGCCCTTTGGCTCTTTCCTTGTAGTGGAACTTCACTTCTCTGTTCTTTTAATGTCTGTATTTATTTTTATCTGTGTGATCATGTGTGGAACCAGAAAATGCTCGGGAGGTGATCTGCACGTGATTTGGATTATTTATTTCCAATATATGTGACCATATGATTTGTTGATGGTGGTGGTCACTTTATCATTGTAGCATAGTTGCACAAAATCATTGTCCAAAAGAAAGTAAAAGTATCAAATACCATAAACTTTATGTTTATATTTGGATAGTCCAGCACAATAGGTTTGAGTAAACTACTGATTACCCAGTCTATTTGTTGTTTTCTTCTTTCTTGCCTAATCTTTTTTATTCATAGTGGCCAAATGAGCCTAGATATCACCATAATTTTTATTCCTACTCAGGTAAAAATTCAATAAATTAACAACCTTTGTTTGTATTTACTTGCGACAGCTCAATAAGAATAATTAACTGGCAGCTGTGATTTAATGTTTCCATTTTCGTGCTTTTTTATTTCTATTTCAGAAGTTACTTTGTTACTTGCAATCTTATAGATCTTTGAAACTGTTTAGGACTGATTTGGTTTACTTACTATCTTTACCTATTTGGTTTAGGTTCTCGGTGATGGAATCTCATCTGGAACTATCAGTCAATGGCTGCAAGAATATGCTCCTGAGCAATTACTAGATCTTTCATCTCATTTACATATGCTAATAGTGAGCCTCCTGAAGTTGCCGAAGGGAAATACTTCTTTAATAAAGGCTTTACTGAGTGTGACTGTCTCAATTTTGAAAATATCAAAGGACAGAGATTTAGATATATCACAGGATAAAAAAAAATTTCGCCCAAATTTGACCTTATCACTTGCGGGGTTATTTCAGTTGTGCCAGGCTGTTGACATGGAGCTCAGTATTCCAGGAACTAGTTCTACAAGTGAGATTTGGCTAAATATCATCCTTATGTCTGCACCAGTACCAGCTGTGACTCTCATGGTATGCTTCTCCTTATCTTGCATATAAGTGCATTTAAATGATGTAAGCATGTCTAAGAAGCTCTTACCTTTTCAGCATTGTACAAGGTTATATAATTGTATCTTTGGTTTACGGGTTCTTTTGGAGCTAGGTTATATTATGAATATTTGTTTCAGAATTAAAAGTTTCTTGCTTGTGACTGAAAGTTTAATTCCTTCATAACTGTTTTTTGCTGAATGGTATCTTGACCTTATTCTTGCAAATAAATTTGATGATAATTTAACTTATGACAACCTAAAAGTGTCGATTGATGTTGTCATTACAGGACAAGGCGAGACTATCAAAGCTTCTTATGCTGGCAGTTCCACCTGCTTTACAACCATCCTCAAAGCAAAAATCCATGGCCAATGTTCCAAATTCTTATCTGCTTATTTCGTGTAAGGAACATCAGGGAGAAGAATCCCTTGGTTCTAAGCTTTTACGCTGGGTGTCAGCTTCAGTAATTCTTGGATGCTTTACAAACAAATGTTCAAAAATGAATAAATTTTTTTCAATAAGTAGATCAGAGGTTGAAACTTTACGGCCCATAGTGGAAGAAATCAGCAAAAAGGAGTGTGGAGGTGGGGAAGAATATTCTAGTTCTGATGAGGCATTAGCTGTCATACTACTTTACCTGCAACAGATTCTTGGAAGGAGTTGCAGTTTTCTTCCATCGGTCATATTAGCACTTTGTTTATTGCTCTTAGGCCATTCAACTAGTACATCAGGTACATACCTTTCTCTCATTTCTGTTTGCTTAGTGCCGTGCACTATCATAACATTGTAATGCCGATGATTCTTTCATTGTTGATATATTGACTTCATAAGTATTGTTCTTAATGTTAAGAAATTGTCTTGAGCTTTATGTGGATAGAGCTTGCATGGTATGAGGAAATTGATGTATACTGAAATTTATGTTCATCTAGGTCTGAGGATTATAATGAATGTTGCATAGTCTTTCTCGTATGATTCGGTGGCTTTAACATTATTATCTTACTTTTGAACAGGGAATGTCACTCTAGATGGGGCTACTGAAGCAATAGCTTCACTATGCTCAAAAATATATTGCCCTCCTGAACTTAATCCAGATTGGAGGTGGTATGTACAATTTTCTAACTTTATAACTTAAAGCAAATTTTTGTTATTTTTTTTTCTTTCAAAATTTGCATCAATATTGTAATTTGCAGTTTGCAAAGTCTATGTTGACTGAAGTGGGAGCATCTCTACTATAATTGGTGACAAGTACAGTTAGCAAGACTTTATAATCTTGACCAAAATGCAGTCTAAAACCGACCATGAATTTTAGAACTTTAGTACCTATTAAAGAAAAGTCCAAGGACAGGCCGATAGGGGTTGAAAAGTATAATAAAGTGGGGGATGGAAAGTATAATAAAGTGGCATGATATAGAAGTTGTTTTAGGATGCTCAAAAGTGAAACTGAACTCTTTTCAGGACAAAGTTACCTAAACTTTTATATTACAGAAAACTACAATGAGCTTTCAAAACCATAGAGAAACATCAAACTAGTGGGAAATTGTTCGAGTTTTGAGAAATTTACCCATACTTCCTGCTTGGTTAGTTTTAATATATAATACCCATATTTTCGTATCTTCGTCGTGTTGATCCGCTATTGACAGGTACTATGATAGGCCATGGCCATGGAGAGACGAAGAGCACTCACGAGCGAGAACTGCGAGAGAACTAATGGAAGAAGAGCAAGCATGTCAAAGCATGCTTATAATGTTTTCAAATGCTCTTGGGTGGAAATCCTCTGCTTCGTCACTTCTCTTACATAAAGACGTGGAGAGTTTTGGACTGCATGAGTGGGAAAGAGAGACTTTTCTTGTGAGCAAACATAGCAAGAAGCGGAAACAAACATCAAAGTGATTCTATTAAGTTGTACGCATATTCTTATTTGTCCACAATTTTGCCCAGAGTGATTCTGCTAGGCTGTACGCATATTTTTATTTATCCGCAATTTTGCCAAACATGTTTCATTGTTTCGAGCAAATGTAAATATCTTGTATCGTAACTGGCCTTTATATGAAAAAAGTTTTGGCTTTGCCGAGGTTTTGAACTGTATCTGATCTTTACTTCCCAAAAACCGATGGGGGGAAACACCGAGCTGTTGGATTTAATCTAATAAATCTATTTGTGGGCACATATGATTAATCAATGTGTATTGCTATCTTTCAGGATAACCCACTAAAGTGATCAATTAAGTTGGGTAAATGGGTATTTAAATATAATCATGGGGTTATATGTGCAGATACCAGGTTGTAATTGTGATTTATTGAGGGGGTAAATTACAAAATTATAACATCTATAAATAAGGGGTTATGGTCCCTAACCTAGGGTTACATTCTCTAATTCTCTGCACCCCCATCTAGCTAGAGAAATTCGGATTTAGAGAAACCCTAAGGTTAGAAGATCCAAAACCCATCTCAAGGTTCATCCATGGACTCAGGTATAAGCTTCCGCTCTCTTGATTATTGTTAATCTCTTTGAATTAATCATGGCTATATGGTTTTAGATCTCAAGTTTTGGTTTAGATCTAACAAGTGGTATCAGAGCCACCTTGATTAATTCTTAGGGATTTAAGTTTTATTAGATTTTTGATCTTAAATCTCTGGTTAAAGATTCAGTTTTGTTTTCGGATGAACAGTAATGTTCGGCGAACAGTAAATTTTTTTCCCGGATGAACAGTAAAGCATTTTTTGGGTGAACAGTGACTAAAAACGCCGGTGAACAGTAATTTTTTGGAATTTCCTTTGATTTTTCTTCAATTTTTCTTGGATCTGGATCAAGAATTTTTTTTCGATTCAGGATCTGGCTTTGAAAATAAAAATCGAGGAATTTTTTGGGTTTAGCGGCGAGGGTTTCAGTTTGAAACCCTAAGGGTTCATGGCGAAAATTAAGGAGGTGGTTACCTCAAACGAACCTCGCGTTCGTTCAATTTTAACCGAGCTTCGCGCTCAACGAACCTCGCGTTCGTTCTAAGGTGAACCTCGCGTTCAACTCAGGTGAGCGTCAAGCTCAATTTTAACGAACCTCGCGTTCGTTCTAAGGTGAACCTCGCGTTCAACTCAGGTGAGCGTCAAGCTCAATTTTTAACGAACCTCGCGTTCGTGCTTCAGACGAACCTCGCGTTCGTACTTCAGACGAACCTCATGTTCGTACTTCAGACGAACCTCGCGTTCGAACTTCAGACGAACCTCGCGTTCGTACTTCAGACGAACCTCGCGTTCGTACTTCAGTCGAACCTCGCGTTCGTACTTCAGTCGAACCTCGCGTTCATTTTTTAAACGAACCTTGCGTTCGTTCCCAAGTTGAACCTCGCGTTCTTTTATCAAACGAACCTCGCGTTCGTTCATTCTCAAATGAACCTCGCGTTCGTGCTTAAGTGAGTCTCGTACTCAATACAGTCGAACCTCGCGTTCGAAGTTAAGGGAACTTCGTGTTCATTATGGTTAAGCCTCGGCTTTTCATGGGTCCACTTTGGTATACTTAATTTATTCAATTAAGTTATGGGCCCTAATTAAGCTGTGAGACCCCAATTAAGTTTTTGGAAATTCAGTTGATTTAAATTTTTTAATTTAAATCTAATTCAGTTTTTTAATCAATTATTTAATTCAAATATTATGACACTAAGGTATTAAGGTTGTCTCTCATTCCAATTGATTAATTGAAACAAGAAGTTGCCAAAGTAACATCTCTTGTGTAGATTGTTCATGAGGAATGTGAGATGTTTGTGTGTATGCTTTCGTGTAAATATTTAATCGGCCCAAAGGAAGGTTAATATTTATTTAGACTGTATACACATCTGCGATGATAAGCGTGTGACAATTATAAGGTTTACATGTGAATAATGAATCGATCCAAAGATAGTTTCATTATTTGACATGAGTTATTGTCAATGTTTGATCATTGCAACAAGGTATCACTTACAAGTTAATATTACTGTCCAAAGACTTGATATTAATGTTGTGCCGGTATCTTGGATGGGGATTGTCATTATTTGAATTTTATTGATTATGGTTATTGATGTGAGCATTCTTTTGTTTTATTTCAGCTAATGCATCTGCTGCAACAATTTCTGCTAACATCAACTCAATTCCCATGCTAAATGGGACAAACTTCAAGGTTTGGAAAGAGAACATATTAATTGTTCTTGGCTGCATGGATCTTGACTATGCATTAAGAACTGAACAACCCCAACCTCTCAATGCGGATAGCACTCCTGATGCAAAGAAGGAGCATGAGAAGTGGGAGCGTTCAAATCGCATGAGTCTTATGATCATTAAGCGCGGCGTTCCGGAAGCCTTCAGGGGCATAGAATCCGAAGGGATTACTAAGGCTAAAGATTTCCTTGCCGAAATTGAGAAGCGTTTTGCGAAAAACGATAAGGTAGAAACAAGCACGCTTTTAGCTCGCTTGATTTCAATGAAGTATAAGGGCAAAGGAAATATCAGGGAGTACATTATGGAAATGTCTCATATTGCTTCAAAGCTTAAGGCACTTAAACTCGATCTTTGTGACGAGTTATTAGTGCATCTGGTTTTGTTGTCTCTTCCTGCACAGTTTAACCAATTTAAGGTCAGTTATAACTGTCAAAAGGAGAAATGGACTCTAAATGAGCTCATTTCATACTGTGTGCAAGAAGAAGACAGGTTGAAGCAAGATAAGACAGAAAGTGCTCATTTGGCCTATGCCTCTAAGGATAAGGGCAAGAAAAGGAAGAATGATAAGGAAGCTGCTAAGGGTCCAGTTGAGAAGAAACAACATAAGGATAATCAGGGTTGTTTCTTCTGTAAGAAGCCTGGACATGTAAAGAAGGACTGTACAAAATATCACGCCTGGCGTGATAATAAGGGTACGTTCCTTGCTTTGGTCTGTTCTGAGGTTAATTTAGCTTCAGTACCTAGAAACACTTGGTGGTTAGACTCTGGTGCTACTACTCACATAAGTGTTTCTATGCAGGGTTGCCTGAGCTACCGAAAGCCAAGTGATGTTGAAAGACACATCTTTGTGGGCGACGGACAATCGGTAGATGTGGAAGCAATTGGGCACTTTAGGTTGTTGTTAGGAACTGGTTATTATTTGGATTTAAAAGATACTTTTGTAGTACCGTCTTTTAGACGGAATTTGGTTTCTGTTTCTGTATTGGACAAATCAGGTTATTCTTGTTCATTTGGAAACAGTCAATTCAGTTTATCTTTTAATTCAAATGTTGTGGGAACCGATTACTTGAGTATTTATGACAACCTATATTTGCTTGATACAATTGCTTATTACAATGAATCCTTGCATGTGGAATCACGTGGTACTAAGCGTAAATTAAATAAGGAAAATTCGGCGACATTATGGCATAAGCGCTTAGGTCATATCTCAAACGGTAGAATTGAGCGTCTTGTGTCAGATGGCATTTTGGATTCCCTTGATTTTTCGGACTTCGACGTATGTGTTGAATGTATCAAGGGAAAACAG